TATGACATCAAAGGCAACTGAATATGCTTTGAACTTTTTTTTTGTCTATAACAACTCTCCTATTTTAAGGTCAGCATACCTCTCTCTTGTTAATACAGTTTTCTCTATTGCAATTGTATTTAGGCCTTTCCATCTTACCCTTCTTCCTTCCAATTTTCTTTCCATTAGGTCTTATATATCATATTTTTTCATGTATAAGAGGCCCCCATGTATAAGACACCACCCACTTTTCTAACCCAAAATTAAGAAATCTAAGTGGGGCTTAGTAAGTGTAGGGGGAAAGGGATCAAAGCCCTGCAGGATCACTTTGATCCCTGCTTTCCCCTCCACTTATTTTTCTCTCTCTTCAGCTTACTTCCGTGAATAAAATGACCATCAATTTTTAGTGTAAAGATTTTAGACGAAAGTATAGTCTTATACATGGAAAAATATGGTAATTCTCACAATTTTAAGCATGTGTCCTCACCCTCATCCTTCCTGTTGTTATTGTTTTTGTTTTTGTCATACTAGAGACTGAATGTCATAATGATGGGTTTGATTTCTGATGTAGTAGGTCTAAACAGAGATGCTGTGCTACATCCAGACCAGACACTCCAGAGTACTTTAGTCCATATGTCCTTCCTCCTGCACATTGTTTATTTATTTTACTCAAAATGATCTACTGCAGCAATCTCTTCATTTCTCATTCAGACTGGACTATTCCAACTCTTTTCATTTTATGTGGTTATGATTTCACACCCTATGTTCTACAGTATAGCTTTAGTATTGTTCAACTGGTTCCTCCTTTCAGTCCAAGAACTCCTCAGCATCTTGCAATAAAAAAGCAATTCAAATGCACCCGTCTTTTCAAGAAGAGCCTGTTCTAGAGTCCACAATTCCATGCCATTCAGTGGAAATGAGTATATATAATACCATACATTTTTCTAAGTCAATTTTAACTTTTCGCTGGATTTTCATCATAAGGACAGCTGCTCCAGGCCACCCCTATTTTGAATTTTATTGCAAGACTGTAATCTCACTGGTTATTTTAAAATATCTGAATTCCTCCATGTTTTCATTATAATCTCAAGTTATTTCTGCCATAACCATAAGGAAATGTGTGAATCTGGGTAAATATGTGAATGCAAATTAAAACAGGATTCTCTGCCATTGACAGAGGCCAAATGCAACAAGTAGAGCAATTAATCATATGGAGAGGACCATGGTTATCTTCCTCCTACACAATTTTTTTTTTGGGGGGGGAGATGGCAACTCTAATTTGAATCCTATAACATGTATGAATACACAGAGATTTGTACCCAGAGTTTTCAAGATTGAAGACTTCAAAATTCATAGATTGTGCTGATGAATCTGTCAGGTTTGGTTTGTTCCACATCTGATTTTTCAAAATCCCAAGCTCTTTTCATCCTAAATATGAAGAACTGTGGGAATGTTAGTAAATTTGTATCAAAAATGATATGAAATGAAGTCCCACCCTCCTTAGTCATAATTTACTCAGCTTCTTGTCCTGAATATTTAACCTCATTCTTTGTCTCTCTCCAATGAGAGTTTCTGTCCTTTTTGTTCTGTGCTAACTCATTGACACCAATTCAGATCCATTGGTTCCAACAGGCCTTGTGGTAACAAAACAAAAGGTATTCCATTACTCACAAAAAAACCCCTTGTGGATTTTATTGCCAGTTTCCCTTTCTCCCACTGTCTAGTTGTGTGTGCCCACTCACTGAGTGTATCTCTCTCTCCACCTTGAATTCAATGAGACAGATCCCTGCAGGCAAGCATAAGACTGTAGCCCAAAGTAAGTATACCAAGAGGAATTATGTAATGTGGAAGGGGGAATTTTAAAAAACGATGCCACAAAAAGTACTTGGGGAATACAACAACCTTGTTTTATAGCTCTATTGAAGGTTTAAGAATTTAAACAAATTGTTTTTTCCCTCTCTCTGACCACATAATTTATCAAGTCAGAGGCCTTGCTCAGTTTATTACATTATTTTGCCATGCATGAAAATCCATTTGCTGTTCTGTCTCTTATTGTAAATGGTAATTTCTTGGGTGGCTGCACATCTGCTTTCCTATTGGAGTCCAGTGTGATAAACTCAGCTACACACCCCACGCCTTTCAATAAGCACTGAAGCAGTGGAAGCAGAAATATCCCTTTCCCAAACGGCACTCCAAATGGGCACACACAGATACATACACAAGCACTGAGCCAGGAGTGGCTGCTTTTATTTCTTTCATATGTTCACTTGCCAACGTGATCTGTTACCTTTCCATCTAACATACAGTATCTGTTCAAATTAATCTGACTCAACAGAACAATAAAAAGAGGGAAAGGACCTGAAAGCAACCAGGAGGCTTACCTGCTGATGCCAAAACTGCTTTCACAAGCAAAGGTCCCACACCATATGTTAGAGCCAAAGTATCTGTGGGATAACAGGGCTGGTGTCATGGTTCAGCATGGTTGGGTGGCTGTGGAAACTCCTGCCCCAGCAGCAGACTCACTTTTGTCCACCACCTGATCCTGTTGCTTGACATTCACACTGCTATAGGTTGTTCACTTGAACTGCAGAGAGGAACAGAAGCCCATGTTTCTGCTCATCTCACCTTCTCCCTTCAACCAGACTTATGAGGCTATCAGTGTATGTGCAGCAGTGACACTAGGGAAGATGAGAGAATACCATGCAGGCAGTGGGGTACACTAAGAACATTTCCCCCCCAAGGGGTTTCCCTAAAACCTGTAGTGAATAGCAAGCCATTATCAGTTTAGCTAGTCTTCCTCCCAACATGGTTTTTTGGTTTTTGTATTTTGCATGGTGGCAGATTTTCATTACTTGAGGAAAAGCAGTTCTGGGAGACTGAATCATCAGAGGGAAAGGCTGCGTAACTTTTTTATATATATTGTGACTTCTATATCAATATACGTAGTTATATCCTGGTTTAGCAAAAGTAACCCACTTTGTGCACTGCATAATAACGTACCTCTGTTCATAGTCACATAAAAGAATCCGCTGCCCTTCCTCACTGTCTGTTCAAAATCCTCACATCTTCATGTTGCTTCTCTATCCATCAGGGAAAGGGTAACAAAGGTGGGAAGCAAAGCAGCAGGGAAGCCTTTTAACTGAGAGATATAAACCCTCATTTATTTCATCCTCTCAGGTAAGAACAAGGTACTATAGAATTATTCTTCGTAGCAGAGTGGATGGCAAAGAATATTCTGGTGTGTGTATTCTCACACTGACAGCAAGAGAAATATATTGTGTATAACTTTAACTGGGGGTGGTAAATATTAGTTTTGTGGTGAAAATTTTCTTACCTTTTCTACCATATCTGTATTTTCTTCAAACAGAACAGAATTTGCCTGGTACAGGAAGCTGCATAGTGGCTTGTTTATAAAATTCCACAGTTGTTATTTTTTAATTAAACACCATCCACAACCGTGCTTTTGCACGAATAGGACTGTACACAAATGAAATAAAGAAATAAATATAAATGCACCTAAGGAATGACACTTTTTGCACAAAAAGGCCCCTTTGGTTCAAACTAAATTGTACAAGCTGCACAATCAATGAGAATGAGGAATGTGAACAATGTTTTTTTCTGTCTGTTTTAAATAGACAAATGGAAGGGTGAGTACAAGTTGGCTATGTTCCCAACCTCAACCACCATTCCTTTAAAACTCTGTCACCATGAGGAGAAAGAATGGTGCAACAACCCATCATTGTGTATTTTGAGTCTCCATATTCAGACTGAGGAAGAGTCCCTGGCAGCTTATTGCAGAGCTGACATGTAACCACAAAGGAAAATCTGTCTAGGTACTTCAAAATTTTAGGACATTCAGTGCGGAGACCTAGAACATAGCCACTCCAACATATCTAAGACCCAGAAAAGTGATAAAAGTATACAGTTTGTTTCTGTATGAGATTATAGGAAGATGGGAATCGGTCTCCTGAGTCAAGCCATTGTTCTACATAGCCCAGTATTATTCTGACTGTAGAGGCTCTTCTGGTTTTTAATTAGAATTCTTCCTAGACTACCTAAAAACCCTTTATGTTTTCTGGTGGTTTTCAATTATCTACTTAGCTTCTGAACTGAGACTCAATAGGGTATATTCAGGATGATATAATTGTACCCACTAGGGATGGCTTATTTTGTTTGTTTGTTTGTTTTTGGCTACAAATCCCATAATTCTCAATTCTGGGGAGTTCAGTTGCCTATTGTGCCTCCCTGAGAGGAACTGGACTCAAGAATCTTGCAGTTCTTCAGTTCTAAGATTATTAGTACAACTGCTTGGCAGCTCAGAGGTTTAGGTATCTGGCTGCAGAGCCAGAGGATGGGAGTTCAGTCCCGTTCCCCCCCCCCGCGCCTCCTTGGCAGGGGCCAAACTCATTGATCTCTTCCAACTCTGCAGTTCTAATATTATTTCTAAGATTTGTGTCATTGACTGATACCTTACAGACATCTAAATGAGGCTCACCTGGAGAAAGGCCTTGACTAGAAGACTTTCAGACTTGGCTAGGCCTAGCTCTGCCTAGTTTCCTATACATGAAGAAAGCTTTGAGATAGCAATGGGGCTGGAACAGGAATTTTGGGCAGAGGTAGGCCTTAAAGCCTAAGTCTTCCAGTTGATGTATTTCTCCCAGGTGAGTCACATTGAAGTGCCTGTCAGTCAGATAAAACATCCAGAAGTGAGAATGATTAAATTAGTAGTGCAAAACCTCCATCCCTGGCATCTACTGTGATGTAGTTGTGATTGGGTTCTTTGGAAATTTATGGCAGTTCCTCTGTTTTGGCAGAAAGAAAGGACAGAGACCTTTTTAAATCTTTCTCAAGTTCAACTTTATTAACTGGTGGCGTCTCAACTGTGACACCGACAGGATCAAAACATGACAGATCAGGTAACTATCCATAACTTGACAACATGGATTGTTCTTGTAAACAAAGGTGATTTACTGCAGGGCTGGACCAAAGCATTCATCATCCATAATCTTGCAAAGGGGAGCACTCCGCATCGCGCAAACCATTCCACAGCATGGGTGACACACCCAGTCGCCCTCCTTCGGTGGGGTGTTGTAGATTGGGTCTGGATGTAGCACTTTCCTCCCACATCCTTGCTCCTGAGAAAAGACAATCGCTGTCCATTCCTGCATTTCCAAGACAGTCGTTCCTTCTCCTTTTGTGTACAGTTCTGGTAGTAAGCCTCCGACTCTTAGATTAGGAAAATCTTTAAGAAGATCCTGCACTTTCTCGTATTCTAATTTGCTTTTTTCTTTCTCTGCCTTGGCATTGCTCTCCTTTCTCTCCTTCTTTAATCTGCTCCTGAACCTCCTTTCCCCCCCCTTCTTTTATATCATCCTCCCACATAGAGAGCTTCAGCTCCTACCCCTTTCTTCCTTCTCCTTCCTCCACCAGACACTCTATCCCTTTTTTCTCCTCTACTAAGGTTTCTGTCATCTCTCCTGTCTCACCCCCGCAGGCTCCTTTTTCCTCTTTGGGTGTTTCTATCGGTGAGGACGGCTCACTTGCCTCCTGCTTTCCTTCACAGTAGTGAATAGGGCTTTTGGCATGGGTTGGGGAGAGTGTGTCTGTGTTCTCATTCATCTATGAAGCTCACTTGGGCCAGTTAATATCCCCTGCCTTTACAGAGTTAATATATTATATGGTTGCTGTGAGGAGAAAATGAAATAAACCTGGTGTGAAGGAGTGAAAGAGGTAGACAAAAGAGGAGTAAGTGAGCAGTCCCCTCATACGGCAGAGGCTGAGGAGAAAGAGGAGACAACCGAGGGCATGACAGAAGGGGTGAAGGGTCTAACTGTCAAGGAAAAAAGGGTGGTGGGGTTAAAAGGAGAGAAAAATAGAGTAGAGGTTTTTCTACTCAAAGATTAAAATGGCACAGAGAAGGTGGAACAGTTGTCAGTTTGGGAAGAGGAAGATGAAGGAGATGGGGAAGGATCCCGAGTCTATAGAATACCGGTAAAACGGGAAATAGAGAAAGGAATTGGTACTGGAGCAGAGAAAGAGAGAGAAGAATCATATATAAAGACTAGGGAATTGTTGACTGACTTTCGCAACTTCAAAGTGGGGGGACTGTTACTGGATCCACCTAATAAAAAGACTGAGGGGTCGTTGCCAGACCCGTTAGAATGGACAGTGGTGGTCTTGCCACGTGGCCACGGTCCCTGGAAGAAGGTGGTATGTCCAGGACCTTCGCATGTAAATTCTAAGCCAGAAGGCAACTGGGCCTGTCACCCCATGTTGCGGGACAATTTGTGCAGTCTGGAGTGCTCCTATGAGGAAGCCTACTGACCAGGAATGGTTTGGACCACCCCCCTGGCAAGTGAAGAGAAGTCAAACAAAGAGTTAATGTTATCTTGGACTGCGTCTCCTTTAAATGTTGACACAGTTGATTCTATTGATTTTATTGTGGACTCTCCCAATGTTCAACTTAATAAAAAGTTAAACACACTTGAAGAGACTCCGTTGTTTATTCCTGCTGAAGACGAGGAACTGCTCAAACTGTTTGCCAAACTCAATCACACCTGGATTGTCATCACCCTGAAATCTTTGGAAGAAGGTATGGAGACTACTAAGGTCACTGGTTCTTAACCCTGGGTTACTCAGGAGTTTTGGACTGCAACTCCCAGAAGCCTTCACCACCAACTGTGCTGGCTGGGGTTTCTGGGAGTTGCAGTTCAAAAACATCCGAGTAACAAAGGTTAAGAACCACTGACTAAAGTGATAACGTCTATACTTGGTGGTGGTGATGCTAATTTGTAAATGTTAAAGCCTTCATGGAAGCCAATTTGTTAATCTTTAAATGTTAAGAGGTTTGATTTAGTAATTGCATCATTTAATAGTTCAGCCTTAAAATGTCCATAATGAGTCAACAGAATGAACAGTGGCATTTGGAATTTTAACCTGTAAAATGATAAATTTAGAATTTGTTGCTGGAAATTTTAACAAATAAGGGTAATAATGAACTATTTGCCAGCTCTGACAAATACTGAAAAAAAGAGTTTCCCTTACTCTTCTGTTTGCCCCTCTAAATCTATCTATAAGGTTAGTCAAAGGTCAATGAGAAATATTGCCCCTTACCCAAAATTTCTCCCTGTGGCTCAGCTACGGTACTTAAAAAGTTCATATTTTCAGCCCAAATTAATGTTCAGCTATGGCACTTACACTTTACAGTACACCAATATTGCAGAGTAATATGCTATCTCTCCCATCCCTGATCTTAAAAATAAAGTGTTGCTCTTCTTTCATCATAGGGCTCTTCTAGACAAGTAATTCAATCCCCAAAATGTACCTGATCACTCCCTAATGTTTCTGGACTTTTTTGTTTCTAACCAAAAGATGTTGTCCCTTATCTCTATGTATACAAGAATTAGTAGAGTCATTTAAAATTGATTTCTCAGAGCATTTTGATTCTCTCCACCCCCTTGATGTTTCCTGCTTGACTTTTTGTAAAAAATCTTCTCTTCCTAGCCCCAAACTGTTTTCCTTTTTTTCTCCTTTATATAAAAAACAATCCCGCCATCTGCATCCTACATCCTACAAAATCACCTGTGGGGTGATTTTACATTATGGCCCTTCCTCAATCTGGACAAGACATTTCTTTTAAAAAGCTAAACATTTAAATTGTCAATGATGAGAGCAACCTGGGATGGAGGAGAGGTGTCAGAGGAAGCAGTGATGCAAGGACTATCTCTCCTCCCAGATAAAAAAGAAGTGGTCTAGAACAGATCTAGGGAGACAGGAGATCAGGAATGTGTAATGTGGATGCATCAGGGAATGGACATAAGCTAAATAGAAAAGGAAGCAGCCTGAAAAAGTTGACACTAAGAACAGAGGGCTATAGTGGCAATGCAGGTAGCAGGAAAGTTTGGAAGCCGACAAGCATCCACAAGAGTAAGGAGATAAGAGTAAATGAATTGCAGGCTGACTGTTTAAAAATCTCTTTTAAGTATCTTTTTTAAAGTATCTAAAAATGCCCCTAGTTTCCAGGAGTGCTGAAGCAGAGAAGCTTAGTGCTAATCACCCTTGTCAGGATGCAAATCCCTATAATTAATGGCAACAGAGGAAGCAGAAAACACCAGCAATTAGAGGACCAAACACTCCATCTGGAAGAGCCCATAGTCTATTTCTCTACTTTGCACATGCAGTTTGCTTATATTTGTATATGCATTTGTGCTTTTTAAGAATGAAACAAAGAAGGGCAGCACTTATTGCAACTGACTATAAGGGTCAGCACATCCAAAAGGTGACATGACAGTCAGCGTAGGTGGGACCAACAGTACATCCCCACTCCCAGCTAACCATGTAGAACACCATTCACATGACTAACACACAAAGAGGGCTCCATCTGAGATGGAAAGGTTTATCTCACACTGGAAAGTAATGTTTTCTACTAGCAGCAAGATTGCAGATGGGAATAGATGAGGATTTTGGACTCCATTTGCCAAAATGCCCAGCCCAAGCAGCCACTGACTCAGAATATTTAGAGGATCCAACAAAGTAAAATTTACCATACAAATAAAGTTTATATCTTTAGAGATAATTTAAAGTTATTTCTAACATCAATCCATTCATGTAAGTTAGGAGCAGGCAAAGAGGCATTTGGCCTACAACTCCCAGGAACCCTAGCTAGTATAGTCAATAGTGAGGAAAGCTGGGAGCTGTACTCCAGCCACATCTGAAGAACAGCACCTGCTATAAATGGAGAAAAGTGGAATAAGGTCAGACTTTAGATAGATAGATAGATAGATAGATAGATAGATAGATAGATAGATAGATAGATAGATAGATAGATAGATAGATAGATAGATAGATAGATAGATAGATAGATAGATAGATAGATAGATAGATTAAAAGTATTTTTGAATTATTTTAAGAAAATAGTGATTCTATAAATGATAAAGTTGCATTTTAATATTATAGCTTCCCGTATTTTTAGCTGTATATAGCTTTAATCATTGGAAGGACAGATCCTGAAGCTGGGGAACTTTCATATCTTTTTGCAGCTAGGTGATAAAGAGCTGGGAAATTTTCCCCTGTGGACTACAGCTCTCATAATCCTCAGTCATGATGATGCTGGGAACTTTGGAAGTTGTAGTCGAAAAAGGAATTGGTAGAGCTTGGATATTTTTTTGGCTATGCAGAGAATAAAGTTCAGAATTAGCTTCAGATCTCCCACAGAAGACCACCTCTTATTGCTTAGTTCTCTTCAGCCAGCACTTTCAGTCTCAATAATTCACTCAGAGACATTACTATACTATGCTAAAAAACAACAATCTTTAATCATTTTGTAAGCTGCCTTTGGTTCTCATTTTGGAAGGAAGGTGGGATAATGTCTATAGATTACTGAGGTTTGCCTTCACTTGTTCCCTGAATACGAATGTTGTGGAAATGTTCCAAGAAAAGGTTACCATTAGCATCATTAAGTGCAGCGAGTGGGGTTTCTTTGTCTTTATTTTGTAGACTTCCAGGGAGGATGAATGACATGAATAGGGAGGGAAGAAATCAAATGGGGCAGGAGCAGAAAAGTTATATCTAATGGTGAATTTCCAACTGAAGAGTAGGTAAAAGATCAGTGAATAAGTACACGTGAAGTTAAATAAAAGGCTCATGGTGCTGGAGAGTGGAGAAATTGATACGGCATACAGGGGTTTTATTTCATCATATAATTTAAGAGCTCTAACTCTATCACATCACAGTTCATCAGTGGTTTAGGTATTTGGTTGTGGAGCCAAAGGCTGGGAGTTCACTTCCCCACTGTGTCTTCTGCAAGTACAGCCAGCCTGTGACCACAGGTAAGCTGCACATCTCATGGTGCCCCCAGAAAAAGGGCATGATAAACCATTTCTGAGTATATTTGAATCGGCTGACCTACCCACAGTCTTCCCCAGCTAGTCAACTAACCATGACTGAATTGAGCTAAGAGTATTAGCCTGGTCTGGGAGTTCACTTCCCCACTGTGTCTTCTGCAAGTACAGCCAGCCTGTGACCACAGGTAAGCTGCACATCTCATGGTGCCCCCAGAAAAAGGGCATGATAAACCATTTCTGAGTATATTTGAATCGGCTGACCTACCCACAGTCTTCCCCAGCTAGTCAACTAA